GCCCACGGTCTCCTCCTCCTCCTCCTCCTCTGAAGAGTGAAGACCCGCCGACCTCTCTCCTCTTTTTCCTACGGCATCTTGCGGCTCATAAAGCGAGTTAGTTTATATTTTTACTATTTTCTATAATTCTATGTTTAGAATTTAGTGTGTGTGTGTTTTTTTTGGTGGGAGTTTTAACATTGAGAAATTTTGGTCCAGATTTGGTTTTCTCCTTACTTTCGATTGCAGTTCTAATCGAAGGGTTTTGGCTGGATTTGATCGAAGGTAACAAATTTTGTTATTATTTTAAGCAATTTTGGGTTTATGTTTTATTAGATAACTCTGAATTAGTAGCAAATTACAATGTCTGGATCAAGGTATTGATTTCCCCCTAATTTTTACAATTATATGTTTTGAATTTAGGGGTTTTTTTTGGGAGTTTTAACGTTGAGATTGTTTGATTTAGTACAGATTGGACTTTCTCGTCACTGTCGATTGGGATTCTAATCGAAGGGTTTTGGTTGGATTTGGTCAAGGTAACAAATTTTGTCATTATTTTAAGCAACGATTCTCATATTTTGGTCGACTTTTCTTTTTTGTAACAATTTACCTTTTGACATTTGGAAGTTGAAGTAAAAGTTATTTGCACTTGAATAGCCCAAACTCTATGATCCATAGTTTTTTAACTTTGATGCCCAAAAGCTCTTTTTTGAAAATTTATACCCCAACCTATAAAAAGTTGACATTAATTTTGTTCAAGTTCATTTGTTCAAGTTCATTACTATATGAAGTAAATAACAAAATAGTTTTGTTATCAAATTGTAGTTTTTTAAGTTAAAAAATGAAGAAAACAATAAAGATTCAGGGTTTTTAAGTTAAAGGCTAAATTATGAGACGGACCTTTAAAGTGACATTCATTTACTAATAAGACCTACAAATTAACGCTTGCAACAACAAGAATTGAAAAGTAAATTCTTAAACAACAAGGCATATTTCGACCGCAGGAGTTTTAATTTGAGAGGGAAAATTAAGGATTTTTTTGGCATATATCTCCCTCAAATCTCCCATACTTGCAGATTTACCCTGCAAATTCAAATATTATGCAAAAAAATCCAAGCATCTCTCTCTTCCACATCTTCCTTCTGTCCACTTTTCCTCTTCCTTTTTCTCCTCCGCCAGATCCTAATCCTTACTTCCTCTCAGCCCTTCTCCAATCTTATCAATCTTCTCAACCTGTCTCCTCAATTTCCTACTCCCCTCTCTCCTCTCCCTCTTCTGCTTCTAGTAAATGTTTGACGGGAGAGAGGAGAGAGAGGAAGAGGAGGGTGGAGGAGAGTGAGAGGAGAGAGGGGTTGAGAATAGGGTTAATATTGGAGGAGGGAGAGGAGGTAAGGGTGAGGATTTGAGAGAGGAGGAAGGAGAAGAGGGAGTAGGAGAGGGGAGT